CATCTGAGTGGTGCACTACTGCTACTAGTGCTGAGAAAGTGTATTACACCTTACTCAAAATCGATGCGGTCCAGCGGCCCTCTGCGGCCCCAAGTTAAAAACTGATGTTTTTTAGAGGCCCTAAAGGTGGCCCATAGGTTAAGAATCTCTACATTAAGACACGTGAGTGTGGGACAAACAGTTTCCTCACTTCCTGTGTGTGAACCTGTTWTTTCTGAGAGTGAACTTGATGTTTTCAGGCTGAAAACCATCGACGTGGTGATCAGAAACACTAAAGAGGCTGAAGAGCGTCTGAAGAGCTACGAGACTCGTCTGCGGGACGTCAGTAAGGTTCCTGCTGATGAGGAGGAGGTGGAGGAGCAGCGCTCTCAGCTGAAGGTGGGCACAGATAAATAACCTAACGGTGGGCGAAGGGGCGGAGTCACTTCTAAACTAACTCCCCCCTGACAGTCGATGCGAGCCGAAGCAGAGGCGGACCAGGCCACCTTTGACCGGCTGCAGGACGAGCTGCGGAGGGCGACCGCCGTCAGCGACAAGATGGCGAGGATCCACAGGGAGCGCGACGCCGAGCTGGACCACTACCAGCAGCTGGTGGGCGGGCTCGTGGAGCGCTGGCAGGCCGTGTTGGCTCAGATGGACCTCAGGCTGCGGGAGCTGGAGCTGCTCAGCAGGAAGATGAGGACCTACCAGGAGAACTACTCGTGGCTCATCCGCTGGCTGGACGAGGCCCGGCAGAGGCAGGACAGGATCCAGGCTGTCCCCATCGGAGACGGGAAGGCTCTGCGGGACCAGCTGGCAGAGGAGAAGGTATCCAGACTGGATTCAGGGTAACCCCAGTGTKGGACCAGTTCTGACCCGACTTCTGATGATTGTTGCAGAAACTTCTGGAGGAAATYGAGAAAAACAAGAAGGAAGTKGAGAGCTGCCAGAAAAACGCCAAAGCTTACATCGATTCTGTCAAGGTCTGTAGTGATGTTAGCGTCTCTGTGATGAGTCAGCGTTTCTCCCAGAGTCTGACTCGTGGGTTTTTCTTCCTCTGAAGGACTACGAGCTCCTGATCCTGACCTACAAAGCTCTGCAGGACCCCCTCGCCTCCCCCCTGAAGAAACCCCGCATGGAGAGTGCCTCTGATAACATCATCCAGGAGGTCTGTGTTGGTCCTCAGACTGTCCTCTGAGACTATTTACTGTCCTCTGAGACTATTTACTGTCCTCTGAGACTATTTACTGTCCTCTGAGACACTTCTCTGTCCTCTGAGACTGTTTACTGTCCTCTGAGACTGTTTACTGTCCTCTGAGACACTTCTCTGTCCTCTGAGACTGTTTACTGTCCTCTGAGACACTTCTCTGTCCTCTGAGACTGTTAACTGTCCTCTGAGACACTTCTCTGTCCTCTGAGACTGTTAACTGTCCTCTGAGACACTTCTCTGTCCTCTGAGACTGTTAACTGTCCTCTGAAACTGTTTACTGTCCTCTGAGACTGTTTTCTGTCCTCTGAGACTGTTAACTGTCCTCTGAGACACTTCTCTGTCCTCTGAGACTGTTAACTGTCCTCTGAGACACTTCTCTGTCCTCTGAGACTGTTTACTGTCCTCTGAGACACTTCTCTGTCCTCTGAGACACGTGTGTCCTCACAGCAGCTGGGTTTAGGAAGAACAGCCATGAAATAATCAGGAGGTTGCTAACTTTAGCTTCTTTCTACTTTAGCTTCTAGTTAGCGATTAGCTTGTTTTAGCTTCCAGCTCAGTTGCAGCTGTTCAGCAGCTGTCTGTGTGTTGTCACATGTTCACACTGCTTTGTGTGTCTTCCAGTACGTGACTCTGAGGACGCGCTACAGCGAGCTGATGACCCTCAGCTCTCAGTACATCAAGTTCATCACTGAAGCACAGCGCCGCCTGGAGGACGAGGAGGTCAGTGCTTCATCTTCATCACAGCAGGCGGGACGATGTTTGGGAAATCATTTGTCATCAAAATGTCCAAACCTCAGACGTCTAACAGTTTCAGCTCAGACTCTTCCTTCATGTTTAGTTTGAACCTGAAACATTTCAGTCACATGTTTCAAATCTTTTTTCTTTCCTGGCTTTGAACCCTGCTTCAGTTCTGCCTGCTTTCTAATGTTCTCCTATTTTTATCTGCTTTGTCGTGATGAATATTAGTCACACGCTAAAGAGATGAGTTTACTCCAGAACACCAGGTATTTAAAACATTTCATCATGTTTCTGTGTCCAAAGGAAGCTTCACAAATCCTCACAAACCTGTCAGAGACTGGAGCAGGATTTATTCTGACCCGTCTGTGGACTGCAGATTAACTTCTGAAAACTCAGGGGGCGGGGCTACAGAGCTGAAACACTGCAGAGAGAGAGGGAGGGGCGGGGCTACAGAGCTGAAACACTGCAGAGAGAGAGGCAGGGGTGGGGCTACAGAGCTGAAACACTGCAGAGAGATAGGAAGGGGCGGGGCTACAGAGCTGAAACATTGCAGAGAGGGAGGGGCGGGGCTACAGAGCTGAAACACTGCAGAGAGAGGGAGGGGCGGGGCTACAGAGCTGAAACACTGTAGAGAGGGAGGGAGGGGCTACAGAGCTGAAACACTGCAGAGAGGGAGGGGCGGGGCTACAGAGCTGTTGGACAGACGGGAGGGGCGAGGATACAGACACAGCTGAAGCACATCAGTGAGAGAGGGGCGGGGCTGCAGACACAGCTGTAGCACAGCAGAGAGGGAGGGGCGGGGCTACAGAGCTGACACAGCAGAGACGGAGGGGCGGGGCTACAGACACAGCTGAAGCACAGCAGAGAGGGAGAGGCGGGGCTAAAGACACTGCTGAAGCACAGCAGAGAGGGAGGGGCGGGGCTCCAGAGCTGAAGCACAGCAGAGAGGGAGGGGCGGGGCTACAGAGCTGAAGCACAGCAGAGAGGGAGGGGCGGGGCTACACAGCTGAAGCACAGCAGAGAGGGAGGGCAGGGCTACAGAGCTGAAGCACAGCAGAGAGGGAGGGGTGGGGCTACAGACACAGCTGAAGCACAGCAGAGAGGGATCTGCTTGTTTACTGATCCTTTGTCTTTAAATGATTCTTTTCGTTGAGCTGTTTCATCACAGATACACATTATTATTAATATCATGTTAATATCAACTATAACAAAAGTTTTTAAAGAGAAATCAAAGTTTTTCAAACTGGGTTAAACTCTGAGCTCCAACAAGAACAATAAAAATAATTCCAGCTTTAAATCAGTATTTTAGTTCAGATGTGTTTGTTTGGATGGATCCTGTAGATAAAGTAGTTTTTGCAGATAAATAATTATTTAT